TATAAATTATATTATTTTTTTAAAATATTATTTCAATATTTCGACTACCGTCATCTTCAGGGAACAAGTTTTAGAAGAATATATTACCAGGAGAGCTGACATCTTAGAACAAGGCTCTAATGTTAAAATTATTCCAATATTTCGAGGGAACAACATTTAGATTTATTAGCAGTACAGCTGATATCTTAAAACGAGGTTCTATTGTTGCAACGATTCCATAAGTGGAAAAAATAGAATTTGTCACAGGCATCTCTTTACATCAAAGCACTTCATTAACAGACTATTTAAAGAGTTTAAAACTATATAGATTGCTATATATACCTAATACCATGTTCAGACAGCCAAATTTCCTTAATTTTGAAAAAATGAAATTAAATTAATTTTGTAGTGTTCATACTGCCCCCAAATTAAGAAAATCCTATATTTATTGTTTACAAATCGAATGTTAAACATGCTCCAAACACCATTTGTGACTAGGAAATTTTAAAAGTTGTTTATTGTAACTCTAAAGGATGGCATTCAGTAGTTTTATTAGCTTTAGTGGATTTCAGGTACTTGAATTATTATATTTCACTCTATTTTAAATTAATACAGTTCTTTCTCCATATTCAAAAATTTGCACTGTTTTCAAAATATTTCCCCATATTCTTAAAGTTTACTGTCACTGACATTTATTTAAAAAATAATATCACTTTTTCTTTATCTCAATTTTATCTAATTAAAATTATCTCACTCATAGTTGTATTTGAAATGTTCCTTAATTTCAGCTTCGTTTCAATGAAATTAACACCATTTTTCTTAATTTCGTTCTCACCTTAAAACTAAACTTTGTATGGAAAACACAACTTCATTTCGCTGAAACGAAGTTGAAATTAAGACTTTTACGAAATTAAGGTGTATCTGAACATAGTTAATTTTGTATCTGAAAATTTTAAATAAGAAAATTATAGAAAATCGAACACAACCGCTTCATTTTACTGCTTATCACTCGTCCTTCACTGGTAAATCACTAGTCACTCACTGATCTTTATTATAATCTATCTTACACGTTCCATACTTAGGGTTGCCCTCTATTTATATATTTTAATAAAATGAAATATTAATCGTTTGTAATTCTTTTCATTCGTTTTATTCTACTAAAATTAACTTCAAAAGAAGTGACAAAAAATCCCTTGAATTATATGGTATATTATCAATATCTCTGAAACTTAATTAATTAAAAATATCCTTTGTCAATATTCATTTCACTTTTCTATAGTAAATTTTTGAGTAAAATTTTTTGTCTTGACGGTTCCATTAAATTTTAATCATTCTGAAGTAATTTTCCTTTATTTGTCTTTTGCGCCTATAAAATCACTTTAATTAAGTTTGTTCTGTCCGATGAATGAAATATCTGTTAACTTTGCCATGCTTTTCTCACTTTAGGTGACGATTGACTGTGAATCGTGTTGAGAAATCAAATTAGAAATCAATTAAGGCTTAAATGAATGAAAACAGTTCAGTAATTAAGTGAATTATTGAGAGTTGAGTGGAAAACATTTCAATAATTACGAAAAGGATGCACAAGTGAAAGTATATATAATTGACGACTTGTACATACAATACAATGTACGAGTACACAGTTGAAATCACTACAAATTTTATTATACTTTTGATGAAAAGGATATAAGTACGCTGCAAGGATATAATGTAACTCAAAGGCAGATCCTTAGTGCCCTGTAGAGAATATTCATTTTCATTGCAGGATATTTCATAAATTTTAGTGAAATAATTAAAAAAATTGTTTATTTCAGAAATTCATTGAAATGACAATTTCCTTAACAATTTCTGCACAATTTTAAATTTTAATTATAAATATTTGTTGGAATTTGCTAGGTGGTGTGAAATACATTCATGTTTATTACTTAATCATAATATATGTATATATTAATATCCGCTTTTGTAATCCAAAATAAAAATTTAAATAAAAAACATTAACTTGGTCCCTTTCTAATTGTTTTAATAAGTAAACTTGATGACTTGATACTAATAATTGTTAAGTAGAGCTTCAAAATAGAGAAAATTACGAATACTGACCTCCATCGGGACTTGAAGATCGAATCTGTGGCTGCAGTAATCCAAAAGTTCGCGGTAGAGCACCAAAAACGATTACAACAGCATTCAAACGAGACAGTCAACCATCTGTCTAATACATCTGGCCTGCTGAGAAGACTTAAACGAACAAAGCCTTCAGATCTACTCCCGAATTAGTAGTCTAATAATAATTTAGATTATTACTATTAACACTAAGTCTTTGACAACTTGACAATTCTAATAAGTATTCTGAAATGTAACAAAACTGCTTGATAGTTCTTTGTATGAACTAGTCGTAGTCAAATGAAACATGTATTTATATTATTGTATATATTGTGTTTCAAATAATAAAATAAATAAAAAAAAAAAAAATAGAGAAAATAAATTTTAGATAAATAGATATTAGAGATATATGTTTCAAGATATCGTTAAAATATACATAAACATATATATAAGTTTATTATAAGAAATTGACGTATAAGATTTCTCTACTGAATGCTGAAAAGTCACGGTGTTGACTTTTCTTGACTGGAGTGAGATATAAATCTCACTGTTTTATAAATGTAACTAATAAGGTGGATTTCTAAACACTATCGCTTAAATATTTTAGCTGTTATCTATAAGATCTGACTATAAAATAAAGAAAAATAAAGAAAGAAAGAATATGGTTATAAATATTCAACTAATTTATGGGATTTTGTCCAATATAGTGAGCTACATATACTCCAAAGGACGATTTCAAGACAACTGTATAAAGTTTATGAAAAGCCTTTGTTTAGAAAATATTTATAAGATAATAAGTTGTTGATATATGGAAAACAATGATAAAATTTAAGAAATTATGGCTTTATATGCATAATATGATAATTGTAGAAGGAGTGGGACTTTGAGCTATCATAGCTTTGGAACCCAGTTGAGTACAAGTATATATTTGCTATTATGTATACTGATTGAATAAATATAAATTAGTTGGATCAACAGTTCTGAAAACAAAGATAAAATTTAAGAAATTTTAGATTTATATGCATAATATGATAATTCTAGAAGGAGTGGGACTTTGATCTATCATCGCTTTGGAACCCAGTTGAGTACAAGTACATATTTGCTATTAAAGTATACTGATTGAATAAATACAAATTAGTTGGATCAACAGTTTTGAAATATTGGTGATATTTCAAATTAATGTTTTTCTCAGATAAACTTTTTATTGAAACTCTGCACTTTGATATATTGAATAAGGAAATGTTCCGAACTTTATAAAACGTGCCCAGAAAGCACTGCACTATATACCATTATATACATAGTGCATGGTACACAGTATATATATTTATGTATATATAAATAGTATATATGATATTTATGTATGTTCATTTATATATAGCATATAGTACACAGTATATATAAATAATACTCCTATATATTCATGAACTTTACATATAAGATAAACTAATTAACAAACAAAATTCTTCATTTTCTTCAAAACATTTTTAAAAATAAATTTGTGATATAAATTATGACTGAACCTTGACTGGTCCGTCTTATTGTGTATGGTATACCTTCTGAGAGAAAGTTTGCATGTTAAGCCAGAAGTTTTTTCAACTTGTAATAATTTTATTACATTTTTAGTGAACTTATAGAGTGCAAAAATATAAAATAAAATAGTAAGTTTATTTTTGTAGAAGTCATTAGCATTGAACCAAAAGTATACCACAACAAGCAAAAGCCACGGAAAGGAATTCATAGCTTCAAGTGTGAATAAAAATTTGCTAAATGAAATCCGGTATTTACCGGGCGACAACTCCCCTTTGAAAACCTAGCCAAGAAATAGTTAATTGTGGTAAGCAAAGCAGTGGAATTCACTTATAGCAGCGGCTTTTGACACTCTATGAAGTCAATAATATTTTCTCAAACTACGTAGAGTGTGACTTTGGCATTGAAAATGTATCGACCCAACAGTCAAATTATGGCCAATAAATGTTATGTCGTATTGAGGTTTCTACTGTTGTGGTCTCTTCTCGGATATTTTGTGTTATAACTTTCGTAGTGGTTTTGGTCAGAAGAAATTTGACGTAGTACTGCCACAGCCATTGGCGACTTATTGTAGTTGTACACAATGTGCGAAGGTTGGTTTGATTTAATTACAGCAATAAATGCCTTTTATAGCAGTCGGCGTCCACGTTGCTCAATAGAGGGCAGGGTTCATTATTGCCAAAAGGACTTTAAATAAATCGAAATGATGTATTAAAAGCGCGTAAATTAAATACTTTTCGAAAACGTATAAATTTACTATTATTAACGTGTAAACTTAGAACTTAAATTTGACTAAGTTTCATATTGTCTTAATAAATTTATAAATAAAAATTGCCATTAATAAATTTGTGTTTAGTCTGCTTTTATGTATTGGCATTTATTGAATTTGAACTTTAATTGCCAATGGCTAAAGGGCATTACGTGGACTTGTATTTCAAGAACTTAATAGTTGTTATTTTTTTTTTTTTGCAATATTTTTTAATTTGCTCCTAAAAGGCGCAAATTCTGAAATTTATTACTAAACAACACTGTTTTGCCTTAGTGCACTAATACGCCGGCTTTCCGTAATTTGAACGGCCATATTGTTTATTCTCTCATTCTCAAATTTAAAATTGCATTGAAAACAACAACAATTGTAAAGCTTAATATATAATTAAAGCTTAATATATAATTTTTTAGTAAAACTTAAGGTAATTCAGTACTTAAATTTATAAATGCATTGACAACCCTGTTTTTTTTACTGCACTGCAGCCCTATTGAAAGTATTAAATATGTCAATTAATTTTGTCATTGTGAAAAAGTTTTTCAAGATTGACGCACGTTTTCTGATTTCTGATTTTAAAGTTAATATTATATTGATTATAGTTCTTTATATTATAAAATATAAATTTATCAAAATGACACCTCAACTTAGTACTGTTAAATGTATACAATTTTGCATTTTGTCACCAGAAGAAACCAGACGTATGTCTGTCACACCTGGAGGCATTCATCGCATCGTAGCATTTGATAATCATGACCCGGTTTTGAATGGAGTGTGTGATCCGCGACTTGGTGCTATTGATAGATATGCTCTTTGTCAGACATGTGAATGTGATTTAGCTAAATGCACCGGTCATATGGGTCATATTGAATTCTGCGTTCCACTTTATCACATTGGTTTTATGAACAAAGTTCTTAACACTTTAAGATGCGTTTGTCTTACGTGCTCGAAATTGTTGATAACCTATGATTGCCCAGAAGTAAGCAAAAACTATATAATACACAAAAAAAACTGATATATGAGAAATGTATACATCATATATAAACATGAAAAGTATATATAATAATTAAATATTATAAGTTAAAATAATAATATATAATAAGATAATCTATATTTCAAAAAAAATCATCAAAAAATGTCACATTTGAGCATGATTTTCTGTGTTTAAAAACCTCAGTAATATGATAAATACAATTTTAAGGATTTTAAATTTTTTGTTAGAATTATATCAAGAACTAAGCTTAAGTTGTTTATATGGTAAGGAAGATTTATGTAAGCCTATTTAAAAACATAGAAAATATGTATGATGTGTTGATGATTTTATATACATATTTATTTTAAATATTAGCTAATATAAAGAAAAATTGTATATTTCGATGTTTCTATATACAAATTTCATTACATAGAAAAATTATAGAAAACATAGAAAAACATCGAAAACAAAAAATGTGTTTTCGATGTTTTAATATAAACATTACATTAAAAAACTAAAAATTAATTAATTAAGAGTGAGTTTTTACTACACTCGTCCTCTTAACTATCTCAATGAGAGGCCATAATGAGATTATATATGACTCATATTATGCCAACAGTCATGGTCATGTCACATGTAAAATTGTTGTTATAGAAATAAATTAAAAATTTGGGAATGAAAAAAAAATAAGAATGTTTCAATAAAATAGTGGTCACAGTGACGATCACGTTTGTGCCTTATCACATTGGTCAAAAGAGTATTCTTCAGCAGTTAATGTCAGAATTCGCACCCTTTACGAGCAGTTATGAATATTTATGTGTAGATATGTGAGCAATTCTCACAAAAATTATTATCTTTTAAATTTACCCATAATCAAAACCTTAACGATAAGTTAAATTGCAATTTAACATGGTCGTGACCAGAAAAAGCATAAAACTGTAATTCCTGATGTTAGATTGCTCTTAGATAACAGAATGTCGATCCAATGAAGCATATTATTAGAATGAGGATAACAATTAGTTTTCGGTACGAGAAATTTTGTAAGATCGTAGTCCTTCTTTTCCTTTGCCAGCTGTTGTCTACTGTACATATATTTACTATAATAAAACATAGAACAACTAACACAGTTTTTTGAATTAGCAAGATCGGGAACTGAACTGAAGTTAACGTTTGATTTGTAAAGTGAAATTTAGTCTTAACCTATGTAATTCGAGACAGTGAACAAAATCTAGACGGTTATGTTAACGTGAAAAAGAGCACACAACGCAATCTTATATATCAGTGTGCAGAAGGAGTGTATAGTATTTGGGAAATCTCTCTTCAGTTACTATAGACAATGTAAATTTCTGCTTACGAAACTCAATTGTTAAGTTATTGGTAATCCCAGCGCATTAGTAAAAGTTCACTACATTTTGTTGATGTTTCTATCGTTGTCTGGTGACTATAAATATCTACTGCGCTATATCTCTTTATCCTTATGTACTATATTCACAATTTTCCAAATTCAGAATACAGTAAGCTTTAATTTATAGGTTATGAAATTAAAATCTCGTCAGCACTCGAAGTTGGTTTATATAATAGATAGGTTCTCATTGCGACTTCTATTAAGTCAATTATTAACAATAGCACTCGTAGTAAATTAGGAAGCGCTCGAGAAGTTGAACACTTCCATTTCAACTACCACAAATAGTGTAATTGAATAAAATATCTATATCTAAATATATATGTATCCCAACATACAATTTATTCAACTATATTCGATTTTTAATACCATATAACATATAACTACATATAAAAAGGTATCCTGTATTTGCTCTCGTCTTTTATCTATTACAATTTTTTTCGTTCTCATATTCTAATTCCTAAAATGTGACTTTATTCCTATATTATATTTTCATGTACAGATGCAAAGAATATTAAGGCGCTATCGCAATTCTCCAAGTCTACGTCTTGACGCAGTCACACGTCTGTGCGTTACGAAGAAGTTTTGTTCTACAAATATCGATTCCAAAGATTTCACAAATGAACCAGACTTGGGTTGTGGTGCTTTTAAACCAAGATTAATGCGCAATGGCGTTGATATTGAAATCGTATTAGAAAAAAATTTTGATAATCCAACTGACGAACCGACTGAGATACTACCTACTCATAAAGTTTTACAAATTTTAAAAGCAATTACTGATGATGATTGTCGTTTAATGGGTTTCAGTCCAAAACATTCAAGACCTGAATGGATGCTTTTTCAGGTAATGCCTGTTTCATCATTATCTGTTCGCCCTGCCGTTCTTGTGAATTCTGTGAATCGAGCACAGGATGATTTGACATTTATGTATCTAAATATTGTAAAAGCAAATAACGAACTAAGTGCTAAAATAAACTGCGATGCAGCTGAAGGTGTAATAAGAGATAATTATTTATTCTTACAATATGCAGTAAATGCCATTATCAAAAATGATGCCTGTGGAGCACCAACAGTTATCCATAGATCAGGACGTCCATTGAAAAGTTATTCAATGCGTCTAAAAGGAAAAGAAGGACGCGTTCGAGGAAATTTAATGGGAAAGCGTGTAGATTTCTCCGCTCGTACAGTTATAACACCTGATCCATCACTGAATATTGATCAAGTTGGTGTGCCACGATCAATTGCAGCAACGCTTACATTCCCAGAAGTTGTTAATGATTTTAACATTAAAGTAAGTTAGTTCATTAAGTATATAAAATAATAATCTACATCATAAGACTTTATTAGTGATTTAGTAATTTTTTGAAGATGAAAGCGTTGCTTTAAATGTAACATTAACGGAAAGAATATGTTTTGGGTTGAGAATATTAAAATCTTGATCGGAGCATCTTAATATTTCAATAATTTAATATTAGTTTACAAAGTAAATAAATAAATAAAATTCTTTCCCATTTACTGAAATCTTGTAGCGCTTAACATTGCTCGTTAGACGTGGTAATCATTTTCCTGGGGCTGCATATGTAATTCGCGACACTGGTGAACGTCTTAATCTTAGCACCATACCAGATCTGTCTTCGTTGCAATTGCTGAAAGGTTATACTGTCGAAAGACATATGCAGAACGATGACTTAGTTATTTTTAATCGGCAACCTACTTTACATAAAATGTCAATGATGGGTCATCGTTGTAAAATTTTACCATGGTCAACATTTCGTTTAAATCTTTCCTGTACTTCACCATATAATGCTGATTTCGATGGCGATGAAATGAATTTACATTTCCCACAAACTCAAATGACACGTTCAGAAGTCGCAAACATACACATTTCATCCCGTCAGTTAATCACACCACAATCCAACATGCCAGTTATGGGTATAGTTCAAGATGCTCTTATTGGCGCTTATAAAATGACTCAACGAAATGTGCTCATCGAACGTCATGAGGTCATGAATTTGCTTATGACAATACCAAGTTGGAGAGGAGTTTTGCCGATACCATGCATTGTAAAACCTGTACAACTTTGGTCAGGCAAACAAGTTTTTTCAGAAGTAATACCGGAGGTTATCAGTATGATTCGCACCAATTCTATACATCAAGAAGAAGAAGACAGCTCTATTTATTGCTGGATGTCAAATGCTGATACAAAAGTAAATCTTTATACATATCAAAATGAAATAAATTTATTATTATTAAATTAAAATAATTTGCTATTTGATTGTAGGTTATTATTGACGATGGACACCTCGTCGCAGGAACTTTATGTAAACGCACATTAGGTGCGACATATGGTTCACTTATGCATATAACTTATATTGAGTTGGGTCATAAAGTAGCCGCAGATCTATGTTTTGGTATTCAAAAGGTAGCAAATGCTTGGTTAGCAGGAAATGGTCATAGTGTGGGTATAGCGGATGCTATAGCCGATAATGCAACCTACAAATTAAATGAGGAAGCTATAAGTAATGCCGAAAATGAGGTGAGAAATGTATTATTTAAGGCAATGTGCGGTAAACTAGAACCTCTGCCTGGCAATACTATTTGGCAAACGTGTGAGAGTAAAGTCAATCATATACTTAATGATGCACGTGATAAAACGGGAATGCAAGCCAGAAACTCCTTGAAACCATGGAATAACTTTAAGGTATGTTATTATTTGAAGAATGATAAAAAGTTATTATTTGGCACTGATGGCCCAATAGTATTCAAATTTTATTAGTAAATTATTACCACACATAGAGAACAGAAATTGAGTACAAGTAGAGATCCTTGATATCACATAGAGAACTTCAATTAATTAGTTAATTACAAGATTTTTTGTTATATCTAGTAATATTAATACTTATATCTCGTTTATAAACGAGATCGGAAACTGTATTTATATTGTATTCTTCCAAGAAAACTGAATAGAAAATAACTTCTCAAGTGAAGTATATTCACACAACTTTGTGATCCATGAGATCATTATCAAGACTTCATGGTAACGTATTGTGTTATAAATAAACTACGGAAATAATAATAAGTTTATAACTTTTTTAAACAAATCTACAATGAGAAATATAATTATAATATATTGCATTTTTTTGATAAAAAAAAAAGAGTGGTAAATTTTATTTCAATTAAAACAGTTTGCATCCTTAACCATGGAATGACCAAGAATTTGAGCATCTTTTTGACAATTTGTGGATTCCATGGATTTGAAAAAAAAAATTGTTTGTCTTTTGTTGCCAACCATTCATCGAATCATTTTTTGATTTCTTTATGGTCTCTGAAATGCTGGTCTTGAAGAGAGCCTTACGTTGATCGGAACCAGAAGTAATTTGTTGGAGCACAATGGGGTGCGCCGTGCGGTAAAGTAATACCGTGAGGGAAAATCAGTTTACATTTTTTGTCGACTGGTATCGAGCAAATTGTTGGTAATGTTAAGAAATTCGTTCAACAGTTTCTTTGAATTTTAGCAGTTTATAGTACATCACTCCTTTCTGAACCCTCCAAATGCATAACAGAACCTTACTTCCATAAATGTTTCGTTTTACTGTTGATACAGATTATCGGCTGGATTTCATGAGCTTCAATAACTTTATGTGATATACATATTCCTCCTTTTTGAATAGTTTTTATAGCATATAAACATATGATGTTACCCCATCTCTTGGAACAAAACTAATTTATAAAACCAATATTTAAAAGTAAAACTTTAAAAAAAAATATTGAAAAGTTTTCTTCAAAATATTAACTATCTACTTAAAATGTTAAATTACAGGCTATGGTTATTGCCGGCTCGAAAGGTTCTAACATAAATATATCTCAAGTACTTGCATGTGTTGGACAGCAAAATGTTGAAGGCCGCCGTGTACCTTTCGGTTTCTATCAGCGTACATTACCACATTTTTCAAAAAATGACTACAGCTCTCAATCGCGTGGTTTTGTTGCAAACTCCTATTTATCTGGGTTGACACCTTCGGAGTTCTTTTTTCATGCAATGGCCGGACGTGAAGGATTAATCGATACAGCAGTAAAAACTGCTGAAATCGGTTATATCCAACGACGCCTAATCAAAGCAATGGAATCTGTTATGGTTCAATACGATGACACAGTTAGAACTTGTGATCATAATCTTTTGCAATTACTTTATGGCGAAGATGGTTTACGTGGTGAATATGTAGAATTTCAATCATTACCCACAATACCGTTGTCAAACAGAACATTTGAAAATCAATATAAATACAATACTCGAGAAAGACTTGATGACTATTTCACACGTGAAGCTTTAGATGAAATGCGTAATGCTAAAAATTTAATTACAACGATTGAAGAGGAATGGGCACAGCTGCGCAAAGATAGAGAAGAGCTAAGGGAAGTTTTTCCAACTGGTGATGCGAAAGCTGTCATGCCGATTAATTTGCAACGAATCTTAGGAAAAGTGAAGACTATGTTTCACATACATAATTGTACCAAAAGTGACTTAACACCGATTGATGTTGTGAATGGTAATATATTAAAAACTATTTTATATAAATAATAGACTTTTAATATACCACGGATACCATTTTTAGGTGTTAGAAGCCTAATAGACAAGTGTAATGTTGTCCTCGGTGATGATAGATTATCTCTTGAAGCAAATTACAATGCGACCTTAATTTTTCGATCGTTAATTCGTATGGAACTGTGTTCAAAAAAAGTTATAAAGAAGCATCATTTGACAAAAAATGCTTTCGAAATGTTATTAGGAGAGATACATCAACGCTTTGAACTAGCAAAAGTTAGTGCCGGTGAAATGGTTGGTGCACTTTCCGCACAATCAGTAGGAGAACCAGCAACTCAGATGACATTGAACACATTTCATTTTGCTGGCGTCTCATCAAAAAATGTTACTCTAGGTGTTCCTCGTTTAAAGGAAATAATCAATTTATCGCAACAACCTAAAGCACCATCAATGACAATTTATTTACTTGGTCCAGCAACAACAGATGCAGAAAAGGCAAACGAAATAGTTCACCAACTGGAAGTTACCAAAATGAAACAAATCATTTTTTCAACAGAAATTTATTATGACCCTGATATAACTAACAGTGTTGTTACAGACGATCAAGATTTCTTGGATTTATATACTCAAATACCTGATTTCGAAATAGGTAAATATACTTATATAGTACATGAATTTATTTAAATCAAATCAAAGATGCTTTGAAGTACATATATTTTAAATTTTTATACAATATACGGAAGTAGTATTAGACGTCAGCGTTAGAAGTAAATGTTTTTGGGCGAGCTCTTAGGGCAACAAAAATAGGTCGGCCATTTTAACCATTTTATTGTTAAATCTTTTAACCTCTATTATGTTAGCACAAATTTACTTCAGTCAATATTAGTAGAGAAGGACAAGATGCAACCATAAAATGCATAAAAAACCGGTTTTGCTATTTTGTTAGAAGTAAACTTTCGTTCTCTTTTGCTGTTTTCTCCAGAAAGGGGAACATAACTGACACGGACGCTGTTACCAGATAGACAGTTTTTGTACACATTTGTGTTGCCAGCTAATAAAGCAACGCTCTCTTATAAAGTTAAGAATATGTTTATTAAAAATGTGTATTATAAGAGAGAGAAAAATTTATAATTTAACAAACACGTTATCTTTTATAGATAAAATAACTAAATGGACGCTACGAATTATTTTTGAACGTAAAGCTATGATAGATCGCAGAATAACAATGGAAAATCTTGCCGAAAAGATTGAAAAGCTTTTTGGTGATGATCTAAGATGTCTCTATACAGATGACAATGCTGATATTCTGGTGATGCGTATCTATTTACAAGATGTTGCAAAATATGGACTAGATGATAATGGAAGTGTGCGACGTAAAAGTTTTTCTCAAGGAGCAAACATGGAACGTGATTTTGATCAGCTTAGCTTTCTACAAAATTTGGAGCAGAATGTGTTGATGGATATAACAATAATGGGAATTGAAACAGTAACGAAAGTGTATATGCACTTACCGACAATGACTAACAAACAACGAACTATAATTGGTTCAGATGGTGAATATGTTAGAGTTTCTGAATGGATGTTAGAAACGGATGGTACTGCCTTTCTGAATGTGATTGGACGTCCAGAAATAGATTCCATCAGAACATACACAAATGATATTTGGGACAATTTTCATGTACTCGGCGTAGAAGCCGTACGTCAAGTCATACATAGGGAACTGAACTCTGTTTTAACATTTTATGGTAAGGTTAAACTCATTTATATTTTATTTGTATTTAATCAAAGATTAATTAAAGGTCTTTATGTAAATTATCGTCATTTGGCATTGTTGTGTGATGTGATGACAGCAAGAGGCCATCTAATGTCGATTACTCGACATGGTATTAATCGACAGGAAACAGGGCCTTTAATGCGTTGTTCTTTTGAAGAAACTGTTGAAGTATTGATGGATGCAGCTGCATTTGGAGAATGTGATAGTCTTAAGGGTGTTTCAGAAAAATTGATTGTAGGTCAAATACCACAAATTGGTACAGGTTCTTTTAGTCTTGGGTGTAACCTAGAATTATGTATGAAACCAGCGAAAACTAAAGCCGTTAAAAAATCGAATAGAAGAAATATGGGACCGTTTTGTTCAGTTGAATATTTTGCAAGCTCACCTTCATCTGAATTACTGACACCATCACACACACCACAAACACCAAATTTCTATCCATTCATGAGTTTAAACAGCATATCAGATAGTCCTTACTCACCTTCCTCAGATATATCAGAAATAAGCTACCCAAGTTCTCCAAATAGAGCCTTTTCACCATCATATCCCATGTATTCTCCCGAATTCGAATTACAAACAGGATTATCACCATTATATAATCGTGGTTATTACTCTTCTGATAAATCGCCCAATAAATCTCCTAGTTATTCACCGCTTATTAGCACTTCTCCATTTTATTCTGCACTTTCACCTTTATACTCACCTTTATCACCTCTGTACAGTGGTTCAAATTTATATAACATTTCACCAATACAAACACCAAGATCTAGTTATACTCATAACTCACCCTCTCCAATTAATTCACTTTTTTCTAAATTCTCGTCCTCACCTCAATCTCCCTGCTCAGAATATTCTCCCACTTCACCGGAATTTGAATCAGGTGATATAAGTTATTCGCCAAGTTCGCCAATAATGACGCCAAATATGACTAAACATAAATATTTGCCTGATTCACCGATTCCATTATATGCTGTAACAAAAGCATCAACGGAACCAAAATTAGGTACACAATATTCACCTACTTCGCCATTAACTACACCGCTATATACTTCATCTTCGGACCAGTATTCACCAAGTTCACCAACATCACCAATTTCACCAGATTCTCCAACTTCTGAAGAAGCATCAATTTCTATGCAGCCAGCATTTATATTTTCTCCTTGCTTTTCACCGAGAAAAGCTCCAGCAAGTAGCAGATATCCAACATATTCTCCATCATCACCTACAACTATAGATGCAGATATTGAAAAAGAATTAAAAGATGCACATGGTAATATTTATTCATCTTATTCTCCAACATCACCATCTCCTGACACATATTCTCCAACATCACCTACTTCTAGTTTGTACTCTCCAACATCACCTATTACTATTACAAACTCTCCAACATTACCGTATTCCACTACATACTCTCCAACATCTCCACGATATTCAAATTCATATTCTCCTGATGAGCGAATATCTGATAAAAACTATCCAATATCTGCAGATAATTATAATGCATATTCTCCAACATCACCAACGTATTCTGATGAATATTCTCCAGAATCACCACGATATTCCAATTCGTACTCTCCCTCATCACCTCAAACAATTTTTAAATATTTACCGAAAACACTACAACCCACAAAAAGAACTCCAAGATTTTCTAGTCCATATTCTCCATCACCAATAAGAATTACCGGAGCATCTTCACCAATGCAATCTTATTCTCCAACATCGCCAGAACTAAGTACTCCATCTTCTTTGAAATCATCACCAAATTTATCTTCCTATTCTCCAACATCACCACAACTTTCCTCTCCATACACACCAATGTCACCACAACTTACTACGCAATATTCTCCATCATCACCATGTCTTAGCGATTCAAGTTCTATTATATCACCACAACAGTCCACTCCATATTCTCCTTCATCACCTTTATATTTACTCTCAAACGAAAATAATTTAAGTCCCTCAGAAGGGACTCAAGCAACACTTACTTTACCTACATATACTCCCTCAAGTCCCAATTTTACACCAAATCTTAACGAACCATATTCAACATCCCCTTACTATACACCATCCACTCCCTCTACATGTACTGATATTCAGATAGATTTAAATGATACAGATGATGAGGATTTTATAGTGATTGATTAAATCGAAATTTGAAATCATAGTTAGGTATAACTCAAAGGCAATAATTGTTTAAAGTAAATAGTAAATATAATAAATTTGTTGTAATAATAATACTACACTTAATTATTTCTCAATGTGTATTATAAACAGAAATATAATCCACATGGTTATATTGTTATAAATTACATTTTTTCTAATATATATAATATGTCATATTTATTCGAACATACATTCAATGTATTTATAATTATAATGATGTAGACTTAACAGGACTTAACAATTTATAAAAATTAATTAAATAAAATACAAAGAATTCAAATATCAATCAAAATGGTTTTTGTCATTTTCAATTTCAATGAATATTGACCGATCTATTGCAATATATGTATATATTCTAACTAAACTAGCGCTTGATGATTTCAATTTCCTCTGTAAATTTTTGTATGGCCATAGTTCACTCGATATGCTCTCCTTAAAGTGATTACTCAGGTACTGAAAAAAGCCTGACGGATCCGCAACAAGTGAGCGGAATATTTGATCCATAGATTCGTTGAGTTTTTGACAATAATTCTTACAGAATGACGATTTTGTGCTGCCGTGGAACACTCAAAAGTATAACTACGAAATAGCTCACTATACAATCCGTGCTATACTATCAAGTTCGCGCTTAGTTCTCACATAGTAAAATAGTACATAATACATTAGTACATATATATAGTATATTACCAACTTACAGAGAGAAAATGGTGGCAGTGTATTTCATACAAATAATTATCGTCTATTCATATTTTACCCTTTCTATTAGTTTATGAAAAATAAATGTGGATATAGTTTAAAACTTTCTATAAATTTGTGTGGAAGTGATAAAGTGAAAAAACTATAACTAACAGATGGCTCTCAAGTCTGGCTTGATAACACAGTGCTGGTCTACCAACTTATAGAAAGAAGGTTGTTGCGGTATCTATTACCGCATCTTTTACGTTGTATCAAATAATAAATTTCAGATACTTTTTATAGAGGTGTTATGCTACCAAAAAAAAAATACGAAGTATATTTCACCCTTTCCGTAAATAAAGGAGAAAGAATTGTTGACATATTTTAAAACCTTTTAAAAGCTTGTGGTAAATCTACTAATGGAATTTCATCTAACACTGGGTAAATGGCTTGTAATCCGTAAAAAATTCAGTTTTGAAAAAGAAATACTAAGAAAACTTATAAGCAGTTGATGCAAATGCATAGAGCGCTGCTGCAATTTACAAAAAACTGATGCTGCAAGTATTGTCATGAATATTTTCCTCTTCATTAACATTGAAGAAAAAACAGAAAAAAATGGGAAAATCGTTCCACAACTGAAGTAGGTGCATATTTGTACACTTCCCATGGTCTGAAGAACTTAAGTAAAGCAAGGAAACGAAATTAAAATCCACATTTGAAAGGACATTCGAAAGGACGATGGATAAGTAAACAGAAAATGCGTTTCTTGAGTGTAGAATACAAAACTCAAGTGAAAGCAACAGTTTTAATTCATTACAAATAGGAGTACAATACTTTTTATGGAAAAAAAAATTATCCCTGCATTATCTTTTAATAACTATATTTTTTTTCTTTAACAACAATTTAAAATTCATTTTATTCATTTTGAAGAATTAAGTATGATACGACAAAATAGTTTTTATTGCTAATACAGCAAAGGGTAACTTTGCATTTAACACATTTGGACATTAGTGTTCCTGTTTTACACAATCTGCAACATCCTCTTTCTCCAAATACTACCCAATGTTTCACTTTGTCATAACGCTGCGAGAGTGAAGGATTCACCTAAAACTTATACTTATTTGACTGATACGAAGATAGACTGGAAGCTCAGGGATACTATTGAGCTTTCTCTTTCCACATACGATGGTCGACCTCTGTTTTTTTCAAACGAAGTAGTGGCAGTACATTGTAAAAGCTCATAAGCAACTTCTTTTTGAAATTTTATAAGAGAAAATTTCTAACATGTGAATAAATAAATTTCTCAAACTTATAATTTATAAATTAAATGCCATACTGACTTAAAACATACACTCCTCTTGGTTTCTAAATATATTTCCTATTAATACTAAAAAAAAAAGATTATGTATTTCATAAATATTTTCCAAACTTGTAAAAGTACCTACTGTTCAAAAAGTATTCGTTAACTACTCTACTCCTTAAGTAATAGACCTTTTTCAAATTTTTTTTTTGTTATGTTGGTACACCCCATCTCGACATATGGTACAAATTTGAGCGCCATCTGTCAATTAGTTTGTTTACAGCAGTTGTTAATGTGAGACTACCTCAAGTGCATTTAGCGATTTTTACTATGGAAAATTCTTGTTGTACGCGATTTTTTGACCAAACTCGACACCACTGTCATCACTCGGGCACCATATTCGCCAGATCTGGATCCGTGCGACTTTTTCCTGTTCCCGAAATTCAAATTGCCCATTTGTGGTAAGCGTTTTGAGTCGTTTGAATCGGTAAAAGAGAATTCGCCGAAGGAACTAAAAGCCATACCTTCACGGGTCTACGAAAAGTGTATGGAAGATTGGGTTAAGCTTTGGCATATGTGTATCGCTTCAGAAGGAGCATATTGCTTTGAAGGAGATAAAATAAATTTGGAATAAAATTTAAATTTGTGTGTTGTATTTACAAAAGTCTACTTTACAAAAAAAAAATATATTATATATATATTAGAGCAAAAAAATTGCTCTGTTACAGTATTTCATCGTCTCTGCTGTGCATAAATAAATATAAATAGAGCTAACAAAAATTTTAATAAAAACCATCTGTTGTAGAAAACTTCAGATTAAAATCTGTTGTACTCAATGTGATTTGATTTATCACATCAAATAATTGACATTGTGCTTGAAACTCTAAAGAGGAAAGCATGGCTCTATTAACATTTATCTCAGCACAAAAATGTTTATTATTAAATGCTAGATTTCTGTAAAATGACAGCATTTAAACAAATAATAGAAAAAATATTACATGTTTAAAAAATGTGTCTTAAAATACAAGCAACAAAATGCATATTTACTAAGTTAAAAAGATATGAAATTATTGTCAGATTTAAGTGCATTTATCGAACTTTAACGACACTCATAAGATACTGGCACATGCAAACTCCTACTAACTTACGAGATACCCAAAAAGATACTACAGCAAGCAGCGTTCATAACAGCACCGATGGGAAAATACAACAAAAAGTGAAAGTGAGAAAAAACAGCGGAGTACCAAGAGGAAGCACTGGTGTGTGTGCATTGCCAAAAAGGAAGACGACTGCTCTCAAGCTCAGATACAAAACTGTTTGCGATGCGAATAAACGCTGGCATTTATACAAGACTGCATTCGATAAACAGACTAGAAACTTTTAGGGAAAATTTTTAAAATATGCAAGACAGCAATGAAAACAATTCAAAACTAGAAAGAAAAAAAGCAAACTTCAAATGTAAATGCGAAACATAACAAGCGACTGACAGTTAAACTTCCTGTAATTTTTGGACAATTTCAATTTTCTCCTAATGCTTCCTCAGCGCCTCAATTCGACGCTGTTTAGCAGATGAAAGCTGTAAATTATTTTTAGTTTTTGCATTATTTTGTATCTGGTGAGTCGCAATTAGTAAAGCTATCTTTTCTGACTTTTTTGTTAAATTGCAAAAATTTAATCTTTTAAATTTCAATTTTTAAAAATATAAAATCTCAAAAAAAAGTAATATTTAATAACTTGATTTATTAGACAGAGATACATATATATCTTAACAGAATGCTCAACTGCCAAAAACATATTAAACCAAAGAATAAATAACTTTATAACAAAAATAAAACTATTGCACCATTCCGATTTATTTATTTATTTATAATAAATAACTATATATAATAAAAGTTTTTATATATTTTTTATCCGGCTATAGTTTACTTTTTATTAAATAATTTAACGTTTGTTTAATATTTTTTAATATATGCTATATATCGACTCTCCTTGAGAGTCATCATCAGGATCACGATCTAACATAAATTAATATTACTGAAACTATATCAACATGTTCTTTATACTATTGTCTAAATTTTATTATATATAATAAATAAATAAATAATAATTAATAAATAACTTCATATTAAAATAAAAATATTGTACTATTCCGATATATTTATTTATTAATTAATTTATTTGGAGTTAACATTAAAATTAATTTTATAGTTAACTAAGAATAAGGAACTGGACTACTAGGTCCTTCACCCTTACTATTCTGATTATTTAGGCTTCGATCTCAGCTTATCATTAAAAAATAAAAATAATGAAGACAAACTGAAATCGCATTATGAAACAGTTATAGAGCACAGATAGCTATTCGCATATTAAAATTATACTAAGGTGCAAATTAAAAAATCTTAGATTATTACCTAACGACCTGATTGGAAATAGAATCATACATTGATACACAGAGAGATTAATATTTTGACTGCGTTTAAGAAAGTTAGCAGAATAGACTGCTATCAGCTACAAAAATTGAAATTCCAACCTTTGAATTAGCAAATTAAATTTGCCAGCATTTAATATTGAAAAACTCGGGTAGGTGCAGTGAATGCTATTCAACACTCGCTGAAGGTCCAATAAGGTGTATGTAATGTCAGGTACTTTTAAGGAACTGTGGATCTTAAACAGTGTCTTAATGTGTGCGTTGAACATTCCAGAGAGTAGAAAAAGAGAAAATGATAGAAAATATCTCATATAAGGGCCACGACCCCATTTTGACTACCCTATCACATAACCTGAAAGTAAGCATAGACTGACCTTTACTAAATTCTAAAATTCTGTTCTTTCACAATATTTTAAATAAAAATAAAAAATGATGTAGCACACCCAAATGAAATAAACCAATCTTCATGGATCGCAAAAATATCGATTGAGAGGAGAGCGTCGAATTTTTCTTAGTTCTAAAGAAAGAATATATTTTTATATTTAAAGTTTGTGGTTTGTGTTAGAAGTAGATACCTCTGTTAACAAGGGTGCACAATCGATTGATTGCAAA